CTGAACGTTGCTTCCTGTTTGACGGCCACCACACGATTATACTGCATTCGCGTAAACTGAAAATTTCAAAATTTTCAAATTATGGCTTCAGTCTGTGATGACGCACACTGTTAAATTAAACAGAACCTACATTCTGAATATGATAGCTGAAATCCTGAGGATAGCGGAAAGAAGTTTCGCAATAACGAACAATGAAGTCCTTTTCACCACGATTTTGGAATCCCATCAGAAATTTCACAATCTTGCCACCAGGAAGATCTAAAATAAAAAAAAAATTTCAAATGCGACACATGAGTTTTCAAAATACTGCTAAGTAGATTGCAGCTTACAGGTCAACCCTAGAAATGCAGATGGCAGGATGCGCAAGCGCAGGAGACAGTAATGAAGGTTGGTGGTGAGAGTGAGATAAGACGTCTCGGTCCGATAAGTCATATATGTCTTAACTGAACACTGTGACTGGACCTCGTCAGTATGACGGTCGCAGAGAAAGAAACAATTGGCGGTTCTTGCAAAGAGTTGCTTCATCACACAGAAAAGTATCAAATTCCGCTCCACTTCATTTTCGTCGATTACGAAAAAGCATATTATAGCACTGCGTTAAACGCTAACATTTCCCACCAAAAACCGAAGGGCCTATACAGAGGTTATCAGTGAATTTACAGTAAGACAAAGAAGTAAAAATTAAGTGACCATACTTTTCGGACTATCAAGGTCAGTGAAAATGAAAGCAACATGGACATCCGGTGATGGTCCAATCACGGAATCAGCCTGCACCACGTCAGCAATCTGAAACGAAAAATTTCAGTTAAACGTAACAACACATATTGTGAAGAGTCACGCACAGCTGAGAGACAATATTATGCTTACATAAGACAAAAATTCAATTATAAACAGCACTCACGTCCAATTCAAAATGGCTCAGGGGACGGAGTGCTGTTTAAAGAAAAAAAAAAGTGATAAATTTCAAATTATATGGAGAACAACTAGTTTTTTGAAGGAATAGTACCTTGCCGCTAATGGACTACAACGTAACCAAAGTCAAAATCGCTTCTGCACTCACACTATCCGAAAGGGAGAGGTACTCGAGACGCAGCCCAAACAGAAGCACACGTGTCAACGGCAGCCACCCTCTGGCAAGGCTGTCGATGGCTTTTCCTTTTCATAGTTGCTTAGAAGCAAGCTGATGGTGCGTTTGATTTCCCAGTAAGCGTCAATATCAATTTCTCATCGAAACCAATGAACGGATCGTACAGGGACTGGCTGTTCTACTTGAAATTCCGCATGAAAGCCAAGTAGGCCATTTTTTGACATAAGATGTAATAATTAAGGATAATGCTATATTTTAAAAAAAAAAAAGCACACAGATAAGTAATAAAAACAAATAATAATGAGAGAGACTAAGATAAAAAAAAAAAAAAATCAAAATAAGGATGAATTAAGATAAAGATAAAATTAAGATAGTGAAACAGATGGCGATTTAAACAGATAATAAAAGAAGTGAGGACCACTAAGTTGCATATCGCAGTAACCGGTGCCTGAAGTATCATCAATTCGCGAAATCCATGCCTACTCTCTCTCTCTACGGTAAAACAGACTCTACCCCTTATGTTCCACTCACGCTATAACCACAGCTAGTCAAGTTTTTCTCGGTAAAATGGCTTAATGAGTGGATTTTACGATGTGCGGTCACAGCGAGTCTGCTTAATCGCATATACCCGGATAAGGGAGGCTCAGAATCTGTGAAGTGTTGTATGAAGAGCAGTAGTAGAAGGATGAGGAAGAAGTCGTTCGAAGTAACCTTCTCGTCGGGAAGCACGCCGAAATCGTCGTCCGGCAGCGGTGCCTCGTCCACAACTTCGCCGTCCACATCGTCACCTGCACGAACCGAGAAGAAACCTGAAATCATGCGCTCGGCATTTACAGCTCGTAGTTGCTATTTGATGAATGTACATCCTACTGCTGGAGCAGAGGTCAACTGCTAGCCTCCTCCCAATATTTTCCTGAATTCTGCTTACCCAAAAAACTTATTCCTTCTCCGTGTCTATCTTAATCCCTCCTTCCTTTCGCACCTCCCAACATCCCAGTGGTCTTATATAGTACCTCTATCCAATCTCCCCCTCCCCCCAATCTTCAATTCTGAAGTGCCCTCTCCCAGCTGCTGGGTAGACTTG